GAAGACCCAATACTATTATGGACTACTGGACTCTTTTAGAATATTTTCCTGAGTTTACCCACCTATAATATTCAAATAATGGAACTTAACAGAAAAAAAGGGGATATACATGAATGTCCATTTTGTATCTGTGTATTCAAAGTGGTTAGGATAGATATATAGTTACATTTTCTTAATGAATAGAGGGATTAGTTCTAATGGTGTTTGTAAATAGGATATCATATCCGCATCTTGTACAGCAATTAACCACTAGGAAGAATGTATGCAATGTATTAATTATTGAAACTGTCCTACCAATTTGATTTGCAACTGTCTCATTACTATTTGTTTCTCAATAAAATTATGGAAAAAATACTTCATATTGTCCCACCAAAGAGAATTGTTAAGCCTTCAACTATATTAGTAGCTTGAAACTGACCATAGCAGGAGAATCACCATCTATTACTGTAGAAACTGGGAAATAACTATGAAGCATGACCTGTTTCCCAAGAATGACTTGTTACATATTTGCCAGCACATTTCTGAGTCAGCAGTTTTTGAAATTTAACATACACGCTAGCAACAGCATATCAAGGGCTGTTATATGGCTCTGCATTACAACACCTGCCTGACAAGCACAAGATCTTGAGTTTGATTTCCAGTGCAAAGGAATTCAAGGAATTTTCAGTTTTGTATGTATGCAATGTTTCTACTCAATTCCATAAACATCAGTGGACTGCCTAAACCTGTAAGAACTAAGTTTGATTGTGTAAAAAAAAATAGAAAACTGATGCTGGAAAAATAAGACAATTATAAACATCAAATATGTTATTAAAAGGAATTTTGTAGGGCAGTCACCTAAAATTAAAGGGGATCTCAGTTGTGTGCATATTAGGAATGGATGAGATAACTAAGCACATAATCAGAAGAAAATACACTGAATTTATTTTATATGCTCTCCAGGAAAACTGAGATTGAGTGATTAGAAAGAAGCAACAGAAGAGTTCAGTTTATTATAAAAACAGTATGTAAATAATGAGACCTGTCCAGAGGAGTGAAATTACTTAAATCCAGATAGTAGGAATATATTTCATGAATCATGCTCATCTTTCTCAAAAATTCAAAGACAAGATGAATTTCTATGTTATATTTCTGTTATTCAAATGTGATCACATAACTGATGTAGAATGTCTTTCAAATCATGGGCCTTTTTCACTGTGGAAGCCTATGGAGAGAACTCTGGTCTAATCATTTTAAATGTTTACTTTTGTTATAAATGTCCCCACTTTTGTTTTATTTGTCTTTTTAGCTCTTACCCTAATGCTGTTTTCTTCTTCTATACAGATAAAACTACTTCTCAGTTAATATTAGATGAAAGTGCTGTTCATATCTGATTGAAACCTTGAAGAAAGATCTTTCAATGCCAGGCCATCTCCCAAATCTGTCTGACTTTGTCTTTCTTAATTCTAATACTTCCTGCTGCTTTTCTATGTGGTCTCTTAGAACTTTAACTTAAGTTACACTTCATTGAACTGGTAATCATTGTCTTAACACATAGTGTCTTCTATGGACAAAATTTATGAATTTTTACATGCCTTTATAGACAGAATTTGTGCATTATTTTTCTGTCATCATGTCACCGAGACACGGTTTTGATGTCCCTTGGCTCATCATCCTACATTTTAAGACAGGTGAAACATTCTGCTGCCAAATTTATTGAGGGAGTAAACTATATACTGGATCACAAGATATCCACAGTTCACACTAAAATGGACTTTTAAGATTTTTGGACCTTAATGTTTTTATTTCTGTAAATCTTGAATTATAGTTATAACTAATATTTCTGTTTAATAATTATTAATGTAACAATTGTGAGCTAACAATTGAAGACACATTTTATGGTGGATTGACATGTTCCTGGTACCTAAATGAACACCAAATCTTTGCTGAATAAACATGTAAAAAATTTAGTGTGTATACAGCTCATGGTAGAATTCCAAGAATAAATAAATATTGTAAGCACAAAGTACATATGAAACAGTACATATGTAGAATTTTAACAAGGTACTTTTAAGTGAAAAAATACACATTGATATATGCATGGAAAATAATGAAGAAATACATGTGAAAACTTTGGCAGTAGGATTCCCTGATGCTCTGATTTTCTGTGTTATGTGTTTATGAAATTTCATATCTTATATAATATGAATAGGGTGATTATGTTACTATATATATGAGTTGTTTTATAATAATGATGTCTACTTTTATCATTTGCAGGTCTTTTAAAGTCCATGAAAAACCTCCTTACTAATCACCTGTATATTTTGTCCATGATTTTCACATTGTTGAATTTCAGCTGCTATGTTGGTACATTTTCTTATCTCTTCAAGTACCTGGAACAGCAGTATGGTCAGACAGCACCTCAGGCTAACTTTACTTTGGGTAAGATGTATTTCTTAACTGTTTCCTTGATAGATGAGGTATGATGAGTACATGTGCTCCAAATGACAATTAATTTTGAGTACAATTTTATATTTCAGTAAATAATTACCATATGTTCTTTCAAACTTGATGGAAATTTCCAGTCATTGCTCTAGCCTTGAAGTTACAACTCATGTTATACTACTTTCTTAAGAAAAAGTTGCATTTTGAATAGAACATTTATACACTGTATTTACAAAATTTGACTTTATAATTTAGTGCTGAGAAACTAAAATAAATGGTTTTAAAACGTGATCAGTATGTTGATTTGGTCCATGGACTTTTCCATAAATTACACATTAATGTTTTAAAAGTAGAAATAGATTGAAATTTTTATTGATTTCTTGATTTGGTACTGGATCTTACCACACAGCTCAGACTTGTAGTGATTCTCCTGTCTCAGTCCTCCTTAACAATAGGATTACAGGCATCTACCACCAAGCCTGGTTTCGGTGGCTGATACTGTACACTTGGAGTTCTGGGGCTGGCAGGGTATGTGGTACCAGGGATCAAACCCAGGTCCTTATGCTTGCAGGCATGTGCTCAGACCACCCAACTATCTCCCTACCCCTAAAGTAGAAATAGATTTAAATACACCATCAAAATATGCATGATTGTAAACAAATACTGTATTTTTGAATTTTATGCATTGTTTATTTGTGTCACATATAAATCTGCTTTTTATTTTTTATTTTTTTGGCAGAACCAGGGATTGAACTCAGGCTCTTGCGCTTGCCAGGGAAGCACTTATTCTACTGGGCCATTTCCCCAACCCCCATTTTTTTTTTTATTTTTTAAATCTGCTTTTTAAAGAAAACTTTTTATATCATTCTTCCCATGACTCCATTATTGTATAAATGCTTTATTTATTTATTTATTTATTTGCAGTACTGGGGACTTAACTCAGGATCCTTTGCTTGCCAGGCAAGTGTTTATTCTACTGAGCTATCATCCCAGCATTTGATTTATTAAATGTTTAACAAGTGTTGTATAACTAGATCATAAGTATAGAAGAAAAGAATAAGTTGAAGATGGTTTTCCTAAAATACTGCACCAGGAACCCATGCCCCCTCCACCTCTCACTGTCTCTCTCTCTTCATTTAAAGGGAAAAAATAAACATAACAATAGAAACCAAGTTTCAAAACAGTTTAGTAGGACAATTATGATAGTTGATGTATTGTGTATCATTGTCTTCATAGTAGCTATTCAGTGTAGAAGATAGAGGAATTATAACTTGTCCATACAATATTACCACAGAACTATCTTTTTAATGAACTAAGAGAGACTAGCTGTATAATTAATAGGGGAAAGAAATAATGGGAAAAAGGAAATAACACATGTATGTACACTCTGTGATTTTCTGGTTGAATTTAAGATAGTTTAATTATTTTATTTTATTGAGAAACAAATATCAATGAGACAATTTCAAAACTGATTAATGGGACAGTTTCAATAATTAATACATTGTACATTGTTATGTTCTTAGTGGTTATTCGTAGTGCAAGATGCAGACAGAATATCCTGTCCAAATACTATTAGGACAAATCTTTCCTTTCATTGGACAGGATAAAGTTTAATTCTTGAGGTTAAATTTTGACTTCCTGTAACCAAGCTAGAACATTTTTTGGGGGGGGGACTGTTTCCTTTTCTCCCCCATAATTTTATTGATAAACAAACAGCAATGAGACAGTTGCAAATCAAATCGGTAGTACAGTTTCAATAATTAACACACTGCATACATTCTTCCTAGTGGTTAATTGCTGTACAAGATGCGGACATGATATCCTATTTACAAACACCATTAGAACAAATCATTCTATTCATTGAGAGAATGTAACTATATATCTATCCAAACCACTTTGAATACACAGATACAATCGTTTGTATACCCTTTTTTTGTTAAGTTCCGTTATTTGAATATTATAGATGTGTAAACTCAGCAAAATATTCTAAAAGAGTCCAGTAGCCCATAATTGTATTGGGTCTTCTGCTTGACTGGCAATGTCAGAAATTGTTGACCTGAGTCCCCCACAGCTCAACATAACAGCATGGCTTTACTTCTTATATTTTGTTTTTATACTTTTCTGCTGGATGGCCAAGACCAAGGTAAAGCAGGACCTATGCAACAAGAGTTGTAGCTTTTTATTAGAGGAATTTATTTCTTTAACAACTTTAAAGGCATATGAATGTTATAAAAAGGATCAAACATTTAAAATACCACGTATAGGCCTATTTATTCACCTGTAGGAATAAACATGGAATAGATATTAACTCAGATATTCAACTCTATGAGAAAATTTACTCACCCACTAGGCAAATTGGAGTGGTTTTCTGTATGCTGAGACTGTTCATTTTGAAAATGTAAGGGATTTTAGATAGTAGGAACAAGTCTTTTAAACAGAAAGTGCATTTATTTTTGTTGTTATTTTCCAGGATAAGAAACGTCCCCCATAGAAATCATCTGTTTAGGGCCAGTGAGATAGCTCAGAGGATTAAGTGCCTGCTTAGGCAAGATCATGGACTGGGGTCTGATCCATTGCACCACATTCCATGCCCACCCTCCCCTTGGGTGTGCTGAGCTGGCCACCTAGATCAGGCATAGTGGTGCAGGCTTGTAATTCCAGTGCTGGGGAGGCTGAAAACAGGAGGATCACTGTGAGTCTGAGCTGCATAGTGAGACCGTGTACGAAATACATTAAAAAAAAATAATAATCTGTTCAGACACAAATATCATCCATGCATTGCTATTGTAATTAAAGAAACTAAACTCTCATTGGTGGAAGGAAGAAATTAATTTTGTCTTTCCAATACTGTTTCTCTTTTCTATCTGGACCTGCCACCCTTCTGCTTAAGAAAAAACATGAGAGGATGAATTGTATTGATATATACCATGTTTCATCTAGCATGCTGTGTTTATATGTAAAGGCATATCAGAACAACTATATTTATGTAATTAGCACTTTTCTCTTTTTCTTTTTAGGAATCATAGTCCTACCTAATACAGTAGTTGGAATGTTTTTAGGAGGATATCTCATTAAAAAACTGAAGTTAACTCTACCTGGAATTACAAAATTTCTATTATATATCACATGTATCTCCTTGATGAGTTATCTACTAAATTTTGCTCTCATATGTGAAAACAAATCAGTTGCTGGCTTGACTTTGACTTATGATGGGTTTGTACATAAAATATGTGAATTCCACAATGTGTTAACTATCCAATGAAAAAACTAGGGAAAACACAACTTTAACTAAACTTTATTTTAGTTGAGAGGATTTCTATTTACAAATTTTCAAAATTTATACAACTTGTAATCTAAGCATTTATATTTATTTCTTCTGTAAAGTCACTTGTAAAAATAATAACTACCATTTATGGGGTACTTACAATGAATGATGGATATCTTTATCTCCATTTTATAGACATGGAAAGTAAGGTTTGAAAAGATGTACAGACTATGTACTTAACTATGTTTGAACATTAAGTGACTAATTTTCACTCAAATCTGATGAAAGAAGGCTTTTGATTTGAAAACTTTTATCCATCCTATGGACCTCAAAACTGTTAGTCTTAACCACTAAACTTAAATAGTTAATGATTGTACTATAAATTACATTCTCTAAAAGTAATTGAACAAACTTTATCTAAATCTACTTTAGTGTTCAACAACTATTTTCATAGGAGAACACTTGTAGACATTTTACTAAGTTCTTATTTTTTCAAAGACAGTACTGTTGCTTCTGTATGCTTTTCATTGCAAATATTACATTACTAAATATTCTATAAAAATTTCATACTGTAGTTTGCAAACCTTTGCTTATTCACTATCACCTAGTATCAATTATCCCTAGTACTTCGGTCTACCCCAAATCAATGGCAAGATTCCCCTACAAACTGACATCTACTGAATATAGTTAATGATTTAAAGTTTACAAAGGCTCATATTCAACCAAATATCCTTGTATCACAGTTCAGTAACCATGTACATTAGTGTTCCTTACTGTTAGACTCTTGTTCTCTAAGTTGTCCATTTTAACTTTTCAGTCTTCCCACATTTGCTTTATTAACTGCATGCAATTCTTAACATGCCAAGGTAATCCTAACTTATCTTCCTCTTTCTTCTTATTTCTTCCAGTCTTTGAGTATTCCTATCCACTGTTCATACTTTAGTAAATCAAAACAACATACCAGAACTTTGAATTTCAAAGATATAAAAGCTTAAAAAGCACGCAGCTCAACCTTCTTATATTCCTTTCTTTGGTACATGTAACCTAGATATATTTTACTACCTTCTCTTGTTTCTTCCTGCTTCTCTCTTCTGTTCCTCTGCCTCTTCCTCTTCTCTATTTTAAAATTAATTGTATTAAGAAACAAATAGCAATGAGACAGTTTCAAAACCGATTAGTAGGACAGGTTCTATATTTAATACATTGCATATTGTTGTCTTCCTAGTGGTTATTCATAGTACAAGATGCAGACAGGATATCCTGTCCAAACACTGTTAGTACAAATCTTTCTTATTTATTTAAGATAAGGTAGCTGTATATCTATCCTAACTATTTTGTATATACAGGTACAAAATGGTCCTTCATTTGTATCCTCTTTTTTGTTTAGTTTTGTCAGAGATGGGTATTCCATTGCCATTTAAATAATAATAGATGGGTGAATTTAGCAAAATAATCCAATATAGTCCAGTAGTCCATAATAGTAGTGGGTTATCTGTAGGACTGGCATTGTCAGAAGTTGTTGACTTGAGCCTTTTATAGCTCAGCATATTAATATGGCTTTACTTTTCATACTTCATTATTATACTTTTCTGCTGGGTAGTTAAGACCAAGATAAAGCAAGACCTATATAACAAAAAAATATAACTTTTGTATCCGACAAGGTCAGTCAAATCCCCTCTCTTTCGATATCCCCCTCTCATATATTTCCAGACTTAATCCATTGACATCTCAGGCAAATGGACCAGTGTCTTACTGCAACTCACACTGCCATTGTGATGAAAATCAATGGGAACCAGTGTGTGGGGACAATGGAATAACTTACTTGTCACCTTGTCTGGCAGGATGCAAATCTAAAGTTAACAATGAAAAGTCTACGGTAAGTATTAGTGTTGCTTTCGCTCCTCTCCATAATCAAGATCATAGGTCACATTTAATAATTGCTTGTTAAATCTTTGTATAACTAATATCCCCATTAAAATAACATAAAAAATTTCAGTGTTTTCTGTCATTGTGATAGCTATCATGTTGTGTACACAAAGCTTCATTTAAATATCCTGCTTCAAGACTCAGTCAGGTTTTTCTGTTATTTTAATTCTAAATTGAGGTTGACCCATTATGTTTCCTTGAGACTGTAACAACTGGAACATTAATGTACTTAAAGTCACTACAGATCATTTCATTTTCCTGAAGAAGTATATTATTTCAATTGAGTGACATTTTATTTGGCGGTCAAAATTCAGGAGAAAGTCCTGAGTCAGTCAAGTGAACACTACCTACCTCACTAGAACGACAATCTATATACAAATCTGTACACAAAACCACCTACATTTAGCTTTGATTATGGATCCTGATGAGCATTTCTAGCCTTGCCACCCTTTTGTCTTTGCAAGAAATAGTAGTGGCTTCTTGCTTGCTTGACAGCCTAATTCTTGTCATCTGTTAGTTATGTTCTCAGGCTGGTACTTCTGGTAGGATGGTTTTGTATCCTTTGCACACATTGCCAAACTACACAGTAAAATGCCTTTTTTTTTTTTTTTTTGGAACAGGGAATAGAACTCAGGCCCCTGTGCTTGACAGGCAAATGCTTATTCCACTGAGCCATCTCCCTGGCCCCAAAATGCCATTTTTTAAAAATCAAAATATTGCTTTCCATGTAAGCTGTGGGTTTTGCCTGTATGGTGAGTCCTATACCATCAGTCTACTCAAATGCTCACAAGGTTGCATATACATTTTCTGGACCCAATCCCATTGCACCATTAGAAACACAACCAGCTGTGAGCATTGCTTTCTGTCACAGCCTTTCGTGTTTGATTTTCAAACAGTTTTATCTTTCTCTTGTCTCAGGTACTTTGGAAAGGTATGGTCAACTTTAAAGAGTAAAGTATTCTACGTTTGCCGAAAATAGGGCAGAACTTTAATGAATTTGCACAGTTAAAGCCTAGAGTGTCCTTAAAAGCTCCTCTCTCCTATTTATGGCTATAGTGCTTTCACTGAACGTGCCATTTAATTTGTATTCCCACTTTGTCCACTGGGGGAAGCCTGGATAAGACGTGATAGCAGAATCCTCAAGAGAGTTCTGTTCCTACAGGCATATCATCTCCTGATGCTTTGGGGCTACTTAACAGGGCATTTAAGAAATACTTATTAATAAACTGTCTGCCATTACATAAGGTTCTTTGTTCTGAAATTTGTTTTTGTTGGCCAATATGCTTTTTCAATAAAGTTGTCCTTTACATTATGCCTAGTTAGAAAAAAGTAAGAAAGTAAAACTTTGAAAGCACCTACGTATGGATCCCTCCTCAATTCCTCCACTAGTAACTACAGTTTAGGATTATTAGATTCAAAGACAAGCTTCCTTAAGGCATTATTTTAGCTTACAACAGAATTTATTATAGGGACCTGATTACGTAAACTACTTGCTTAATTAAATCTCTAAAGTCGGATGTTCTTAAGTTTTCACTTTTTGTGCTCTGGGAGTTCTGTTTTGATTTTCTTTAACAATACTAGTGTCATGCATTTTATTAACTTTAAATATGTTCATGGATGTTCCATTTGATTCCCAGAATAGAATTACAACACCTTTAACTGGCTTTATTTTCTTCTTCTTTTTTGTTAATTTTATTGAGAAACAAATAGCAATGAGACAGTTTCAAAACCAATTAGTAGGACAGTTTCAATAATTAATACATTGCATATTGTTGTCTTCATAGTGGTTATTCATAGTACAAGAGGCAGATATGATATCCTGTCCAAACACTATTAATATAAATCTTTCTTCTCATTGAATTAAGAAAAAATAGCTGTATATCTATCCTATTTTGTATATACAGATAAAAATGGATCTTCAATTGTATTCCCTTTTTTTGTTTAGTTTTGTCAGAGATGGGTATTCCATTACCATTTAAATATTGTAGGTGTGTGAATTCAGCAAAACAAGCCAATATAATAACTGGCTTCATTTTCACTGAGTAGCACCCCATGTTGAATGGCAGCTCTAGTTGCAGATGTTGGCCCCTTCCAGAGAATTATATTGAAGCCTTCTCTGGTTAAACACTCTCCAACACTCACTTGAGACTGTTAAAGAGAACAGGTAAGTATGATTTAGAAGTAGAAAGAGGATAAAAGAGAAGCACTGAGAAAACTTACATGAATTAAAAACTTACATGCAGTTTTAAACACTAATTTCTTCAATTCTTAGTTTAAAATTAGAAATGAATAGAATGTTCAAAGTGAATTACATTTTCTTGTCTGGAAACGAATACAAGGAACAATATATTCTGCCTTTTAGCTATCAAGCATGATATTTTGACTTTTTAAAAAAAACTATAAATTTTTTTGGTAAATATTTTAGATGAAATAGGCAATGCTTAAATATACTGAACTATACTTGTAAATCTACAAGGGTTTGGAATTTATTGTGTAATATTTCAAAAACTGTTTTTTTAGGTGTTTTATAACTGTAGTTGTATGGAAGTATCTGGTTTTCCCAGCACAAATTATTCAGCCCATTTGGGTGAATGCCCAAGAGATGATGATTGTGGAATGTATTATTATATTTATATAATTGTGCAAGTTTTGATTGCTCTTATGGCAGCATTTGCAACCACTGTAGTAACGGTGCTACGCATAAGGTAGGTATGACTTTTTAAAGCATTTTCTGTTCTGTTAGACTATAAACACATTTAGTGATTCACATATTTTTCATACAATATTTGGGACACAGATTCATGTCATTGTACAGTTTAATTAATAATAACGTTTCTTTGGATTATTGTCATACTTAGATGCCATAATTAATAAAATTTTGTGTCTCCTTAAATTATGGACTATAGATTCCGTATTTTCTTCTCTTTCTAAGAATTTTGAGACAGACTGACAATTGCTCCCATTGTCAAACATCTCTATGATTTCAAAAGAATTTAATTGCGAATTTCTTTGAATGCTGATTAGCTTGTCAGGTAGAATCATTTATTAACTTCATTGTAAGAAAACATTTATGTATCAAGTCTAATTTCAAATCTCCATCAATAATAATCCTAAGCATTCCATCCACCAAAAGAATGGCTTTTGACAGTCTCTCATAGTATTGTTGTGGACAAAAGAAAAACAAGATAAGTAAACAACATTGTTTTTATTCTTCATTTGTTAAATATTTTTAAATGATACTATGCTTAATGAATACTATTCCTTGGTATACAAAGCTAATAATGTGTCTGTTGCACTCATATTAAATATAACAATACTAACCAGAAACAAATAAACTTGGAAATATACACATGAAACGTGTTCTTGATAATAACCGAAAAAAGATTACTATATGAAATAAGTAGGGATAGACTACCTTTGAATGAAAGCGAGATACTGTGAGTGAGTATACTTCAAAATTTATGACATTTGATTTAAAGTTGAAAAGACTAAGTAGCCAAATTAAGGCCTATTTAGGGAGAGAATCCATGTGCCCATGTCCTCAGCCAGAAAGAGCTGAAATTTTTGAAGAATGAAAAGAAATGTTAGTTGGAACACAGTGAGAGGGATATGGGACAGGTTAGCTCCACTGAAAACATATAAAGACTTCATTCTAGACCTTGAATTATATAAGTATATAAATATGGCTATCTGTTAAGGTTAATATCT